AAATATTTAGGTTGAGGGCAGAAATATAAAAGACTGTTAAAAAATTGATGTTAAAAAGAAATGGTGAGATGAACTGCACATGCTCTTTTAAAACTATGTGCATATGTCAGGCGGATTTGTGCTACTGGGCATTTAGCATATACACATAGTAAATATGTGTATATGCTAAATGCCCAGTAGCACAAACTAGAACTGGTCCTTATGTACCTTTTTCCAAATTTTTATCAAATATATAGGTTTGCCTCAATGGTGGGATTCATTTTTTTTTACTACCGGTTCTGTGGGCGTGACTTGGTGGGCATAGCTAAGTAGATATGGCCATGTGACTGGGTGGGCGTGGCTTTTTTGTTTTTGCTTTTTTTGCAGCCACCCCCCCCACCTGTTTTTTGGGCCTTCTGGGCCTCAGGCAAGCCTCCGAGAGGGGTGTTTTTGCTCCCAGAAGGTTCCCCCAGGGCTCAGGAAGGAAAAAAAAACAGCATAGGAGGGGCTCACAGCACCCCCCTCTCGCTTCATTTTGGGGCCTTCTGGGCCTCAGGGGAGCTCTGGGGGAGGCATTTTTGCTCCCAGAAGGCTCCCCTGGGGCTTAGGAAGGCAAAAAATGGAGGCATGGCTAAATTTTAAGGCTTTTCCTGGAGGCTGGGAGAGAGAGGGTACATCTTACTTTATTTGGCAAGATGTTCCAAAATATGGAGGCCATGGGTGCAATGTAATATCTACATACATTAAACACACAGCCAGGCCAGTTGTATAGATTTAATCCAATCCTTTTCATTATATTGTTGTGATAAGGGGAATCTTAGTGATCAGCTTTTAATTTTTAAGAACAGTAGTTTAGAAAAAAAGAAAGAAAACAAAATGACTCTGATATCACACCTTGTAATTCTCAGTCAAGGTCTGTTTTTATATATCATGCTAAGTCATAATGAGATTTCCTTCCTTTGGACAAAGAATATTGCGTAAAGTGAGCTATTGTGGTTTGTGTAAACTACCCATTGTGGTTTAAATGCATAGCCTATGGCTTATCACTTCTGATATCTCCTCTGCTATTGGTACGTATATAGACTAGTCTTGGTGGTTTAATATGGTTTAACATCTTTTGTGAACCTAGCTGTTCTGATTTTTGTAAACCAGCCATTGTAATTTATAAAACATAGTTTTATAACATAGAAAATTAATATAAATGCAGACAGTTTCAATTCAGTCAAGAAACCATATGCTCAGATACTAATAGCAATGATTAAAATGTAAATTTAATGAAAATTAACTGCCCTGGAAAACTGAAAAATGGTTATAATATTATAGTAAATTTCCACTACAATGGCCTATTGAGTCTCTATCATAGATTTCTGTTACAGGGACATTCTGTTTATCACAATGTAAAAGAAAGTGTGGAAATAGAGAGCTGATGCAACAGTGGTGGACAAATATGTGCTAGCAATCTTGCCTTCAACAGCATACTGGAATAATACTTGTGTGGTTTCAGCAAAAATGTTGATCTCTGCAATAACCCCTGTATTTATCCTTAAAGTGAGCACTTTTCTACATTTTTGTCTTTCAGATTTCAGCTAAACACACTTTTATTCTTTTAAATGTAGAGTAACACAAAATCCAAATCTACAATATTCAATGCTTACAAATTAATCACCTCTTATACAATTCTGGGGTACACTTAAAACTTCAAATCTCAACCAACAAATGCTCTGTCTTACATGTTGAAAAAAAATCAGAACATAAAATACAAGCTGGATGGACACAACCTTGTAGACAATCCTCACTCTGTCAAGGACCTTGGAGTACTCATCTAAGTGCCAGAGCCCACTGTAACATTGCCAAAAAGCATTAAGAGTTGTTTACCTAATCTGGCGTAGCGTCTTCTCTGGTAATATTGTACTGCTAACCAGAGCATACAAAACATTCGTTAGACCAATTCTTGAATACAGCTCATCTGTCTTGAACCTGCACTGCATATCAGACATTAATGCAATTGAGAGAATTCAGAGATATTTCACGAGAAGAGTCCTCCACTCTTCTGCTCGCAACAGAATACCTTATACCACCAGACTTGAAATTTTGGGCTTAGACAACTTAGAACTATGCCGCCTTCAGTCTGACCTAAGCATAGTACATGAAATTATCTGCTACAATGTCCAACCTGTCAACGACTACTTCAGCTTCAACCACAATAGATACAAACTTAAGGTAAACCGCTCCAAACTGAATTGCAGAAAATACGACTTCAGCAACAGAGTTGTCAATGCATGGAATGCACTACCTGATTCTGTGGTTTCTTCCCCAAGTCCCAAAAACTTTAACTTTAGACTGTCTACTGTTGACCTCACCCCATTCCTAAGAGGTCTGTAAGGGGCGGGCATAAGCACACCAATGTGCCTACCGTCCCTGTCCTAATGTCCCCTTTTATTCGTACCCATTTCATGTAATCGTAATCATGTTCTAATTATATCTGTTATTTAATACATGCTTGACAAATCAATAAAATAAAAAATAAAAAAGTATATCACAATTCATTATAGCTTAGGTTTCCTGATGACTATTCACTCTATCAACATCTTAAGAGATGGGGCCAGTTGAAAAGCTTTGTTTTACATTTTGAAAATGAAAGACTAGTCATAATTAATATTAAAAATATTACGTATTTTTTTAAAAAAATAATTCTTGATTTTTTTAGGTTCTCATAGTTGTGAAGAAAATCCTCCTAAATGTTTTGAACATGTCTATCCTTTTTCAGGATACATTATGTCTCCTGTATGCATATGAGAATTCTTTATAATTCCATAGATGGCTTCACTGACAAATGAGATCTCTCTTATAATTTGCCCTAGCATTTATGCATACACAAAGCCAGATGATTCATTTTGTATTCCATTTTGAACATTCCATTTTACTAATGTTTAAGCTTTTTTTAGCCTAGCACAAATTTTGTGGAGGTTCTTACAAGAATATGATTTCTATCATTCTATCTATGAAGACAGAATGGAACAAATGTTAAGAGAATGTTAACACTTAATTGTACAGTTTATATATAAATTTACTTTGAGTTAAATGGTACTTGATGAATTTAGCTAGTTAATCTTCCTGAAATAATATTAATAGAATGGGGAAGTCACCATTTTTCCTTCTACATTTTCATTTCTGAGGACAATTTGTGTGCTACAAGAAGGGTGAGTTGCCTTTTCTATATCACTGATAGAAAAGCAATTGAGACACATTATTACCATGTAACATAAATGTATTCTTATATAATGTCCATACAAATACCATGTATGGTACTTGAACACTGATATTAGCTTATTTAGCCATCCTATTTGTCACTTTCTGCAGCATTCTAGTTAGGAAGATCAGCAATTTCCAGATATTTTCAATCTCCCTCTTCACCCAGTGTATCCAAATATGTTGACCTTGACACTAATATGCTTCCAAATTATTTGCTTTACTTTGAGAAAATTGATATATTTTGTCCCTGGGGTTTATCTGTCTGTCTGTCTACCTAATTTCTATAACCAGGTAATGACTCTGGACAGTATATATCATATATAAGACATATATAGGAAAATGTTGGAGGTGGAAATTACTTTAGTGATAATAGCAAAGACATCATAATTTCATACTGTGGGGACATTGTAATGATAAACTATTCTTGTATGTTTTTCAAGGTAACTACATGAACAGACAATACAAAATGATTAATAATACAATGCTGGATAATGACCCTCTCAAGTTGGATGACACTCAACCCTATTGAGAAAGAGCTATCTTGCCATGTAGAAAGAGCCATCTTGCCATGCAGGAAAAGATTTGCAAAGACAGAATAACATTAAGAACATGGAATGTACAGTAGAAAGTACTAACATGGAAAAGCTCAATAGTGAAAGATAAAATGAATCAAATACATATTGGCAACTTAAGCATAATTGAAGTAGATTGAAATTCAACATTTCACTCTGAAAATCATTTTATTACTCCTCTTATTTCTTTCATAGCAAGGCAATACTATCCAGAAGCAAACTAAAAAATAATGGAAATTGCCAAATGAAATGAAGTTACAGCTAAGAAAGATAAATATCTAGGGAAGGAGCTTAACAAAGAATATCAAAGGGCGGTTAGAAGAAATGTGAACTAGTAGTACAATAAAACCTAATACTGTACAATAGACATGTTAGCAATAGTCTCTGATACAGAGATGGTGTTACATTCCAATTTCAGACCCAGCTGATCTATTATTTTACATTTGTTTATATTAAATATAAATATATATTTGTATCTGCTACTCTTGTACCAAATAGCTCCCCCAAAATAAATTAATATGAAATATTAAGATGCCTGATTTTCAGTTATACTTTCAAAATAAGAATGTAGACAAAAATCTGAATGGCTGAAAGAAACATTTATTTTTAAAAACTTATAGTCTTCTCTGGAAGGATTTGCACTTTAAATGTAGGCCCTGCTCTGATTTAAAAAATAAATCAGTATTTTCTTAGAATTCAGAGGCCTCAGATTGCTGTTGCTCCAACCATCTGAAGGTTTCTAAAATTCCTAACTAGAGTTAGCACATTAGGACGCTAGTATTTGTTTATAATTTTCAGCCTCTTGGGCATATATAGTACATTAAGAAGTCGTGGAAGCAAATAGTAATAATTATCAAGAGACAGCCCTTTATCATGAGCTGCCTATATTAACTTTACTAAATCTGCCCTACCCCCAGCTAGAAGTCCCTACACAAAGCGGCTTTCAGCTACTACTCTTTCCCTCTCGCCCTCTTCTCCACCTACAGGTAAAGTAGAAGCCAGTGGTTGGTTAGGTACGCTGCCTTTCGGAGATTCTGACCAATCAGACATGAATTAACGGCGGCCGAGTGCCCAATTGGCGTATGGCTGGGCGCCCCCTGGCCACCACAGACAGTGTAGTGGAGCCCGCGGTGGGTATTTAGAAGGAGGACGGTGAGCTCTGTGTGTGTGGGGGGCTGGGTGGGGGTAGAAATAGGTGGTGGTCGTATGTGCGGTGGTGGTTTTTAGTCAGGTAGGAGCTCGAGTCTTATGCTCCCCGCCCACTTCGCCGTCGCCGCTGCTCCTCCTCCTTATCTCCAGTAGTGGCCGCCTCGTCCATGGACGATGTAAGCCGCGAGGGGCTAAGCTGCCTAGGCAGGCAGTCATGGTCACATACCGGCGATAAACGCGTCGCTGAACGCTCTAGAGTCTCCCTATCTCGCCCTCTTCCCGTCCCTTTTTGCAGGGGGCGTGTTCGCGCGTGAGGGAGTCAGGAGAGAAGCCTTCCTTGTTTTCTTTTGCCTTCGGAGCGCCGCCATGTCCAGCTCCTCCTCGCAGACTCCTCCTCACCACCAGCCCCCGCAGCGGATGCGCCGTGGCGCCGCCGGGTCCCCAACCAGCGGTAACGCCGGGGTTTCGGTCGGTAGTAATGGGTCTGGCGGCGGAGGAAACGGCGTTGGAAGCGCCCCCGGTGGCGGCGCTGGGACTAGCCGGCTGCTCCAACCGATCCGCGCCACCGTCCCTTTTCAGCTCCTGAGGGGAAATCAGCAGAGCCCGACTCGCTTGCCGATCTCCTTAGCCTCCGTGGGGAGTAATACCGGCCCTGGAGGGCCGCGAGGCGGAGGGGGAGGAGGCGGGGGGAACGGTGGCAGTCCGCCTCCACCAAACTCTACTTCACCGTTGGCTCTGGCGGCCGCTGCTGCCGGCGCCGCCGTTGTTGCTGCCCCGCCGGGAGCAGGCGGGGCAGTAGAACCGAGCAGGGTGAAGGTAAGGCAGAAGCGCTCGCCTGACAGCAGCAGCAGCACCACCACCGCTACCACCACCACAACCAACGGCGGCAGGCGGAGGAGCAGCTCACCTGAGAGAAGGAGCCCCAGTTCGCCCATATATAAAGGTAAAGCAGAGACAGGGTAGAGGTGTAACCCACCCCACTTCCATAAAAGCCTCCCTTGTCGTATTCCCTCCCTCCCAAAGATCTAACACGATTCATTTAGGGAAAATATTAGGCATAAATTTACGATACTCCACAAACGTCCGCCCTCTACATTGCTAAGTGATTCATTTGTAAATTCTAGTGTGTCAGTGAAGCTTCAGTTGAGCTCAAAAGGAGAAGCAGCAGATTTCTAAACCCAAGCTTTTCCTCAGCTGAAACCGAAAAAGATTTGGCCCTTCACTTATTCGTTGATTAATTGCTCCTTTAACATTGTTTATTTCTCTAGAATAGGGCAATTAAAACGTAATAAAAGTATTGTCCCCCCCCCCCCCCCATCCAGATAGATGGGTAAATGAGGGCTGGGAATTATACTGATAATTAAAAGTGTAGAATCTTGGAGGTTAATTTGGAATAACACAACTTGAAATGCATTATATATTGATGTGAGTGCTGAAAATAGTTAGGGGTTTGCTCTTTTAACAAATTTTTATCAACGTTTTTATGATTGAGAACTTTAATGCTGAATTCATGCTTTTATGTGTTCTTCTGTTTCAGTGACTAAAATGCTTTTCTTTAAGAGGCAACTTAAATTTAAAGGACTTTAAAGGAAGCCAAGTGCTGATATTAATTATATTTTTATATAAGTTACATTCCTAACAATGTATGTTAGAAATCCATTTATGCTTCTACTTATAGAAATAAGGAATATGAAAACCAGATTAAAACAAAATGCTGCTAATAAAAGTGCATAGGATGTGATGGCAGAACAGTTGTTTACAGCATTTCTAAAACCTGCAGGTTATATGAATGGCAGCAGTTTCTACAAAAAAATCTTTAAAAAGTATAAATGCAATCTCTTTGCAGGTTAAACCTACATGAATACGTGTTCCTTGTTTATTCATTTTAAATATGCTATGTAAATTTGTAAACTAAATTCCTCAATATAGTGCAGATATAAGTGTTTCAGAAACTAATAAATTATTCAAATCTTCTAACATGACAATGATTATTTTAACTGTTCAACTCCCCTTTTTTCTTTCCATATTTAGATGAATCAAATTAATACACTGCTTATAGTAATTCTTATATATACTTCATCTTCAATACTTTTGCATCTGTAATAATGCTGGGTCTGTGTTTAATTTTAAAAGCAAATTAAATAAGCCTCTTACTAATATTGAAAGCAGCAAGTTATAATGATTCTTGGCTTAAATCCTTGGCATTAATTCTTAAGATAGATGAATTTGACAAGTCATTCTTCAACCATTTGAAGAATTACACCAAAACTTATAGTTCTTCACATTTGAATCTGTATGTGATCTCCATTTAGAAAAAATATTTGGAAATTATTTATGGAATTAATCTTTATCTGACTTGATAAAAATTGAACTTTATATTATCAAGTTTAAAAAAAGTTAAACTGCTCACAAGACAAATATAGATAAAGTTGTAAGAACATTTTTTACTTTTAAAAAGTAGTAATATGATGAGATTCTGTTTTCATAGAATATTCAGGATAAAATAAAACTTTTATATATGACTTAGATCCTTTCCTAAAATATTTTTAAAAGAGTAAAATAACTTATATTCAAAATTGACCAATCCTTTAAGCTAGAAATAAGTGACTTCATGTTTTAATTCTGCCTTTAGCATTTGTAGCAGTCAACAGTTTGAGGTAACTGAGAGTACAACCATATGAAATAACCTGACAAACAGTTACCAGAATGCACATAATAATGATTCAGCCAGTTTGCTCTGGATAATTGAAAAGTTCATTAACTAACCTGTTTTACTCATCCATTCCTGTAATTTGATGAGTATGTCTTTTTTCTTTATACAACTCAAGTATATTCTTTAAGCTACAAAATAAAATACATTTTTAAAAAAACTCTGCAAAATGGCTTTGTGGGTTTTGCAGTTGGCATTGAATACAAAACCTATGCCATTTTTTAATTTGTTCTTTTCTCAGCTATTACCTCTTTGGACTGTGTAACATAATTGAAAAAGCAATCTGCATTTGTAAAGACTTAAGAGTTGCTTGGGCCTTAGTTCTGTTGCAAAATAACAATGCTTCAACTACTAAACATCTGAGAATCTTACTTTGTATTAATATTAACAATTGCCAGAAATGGTGATGTGATAATCAGTATTTAATATATTTAAAAGTGCAAGTGATCTATGGTCTTTTTTTTTAAGAATGGGGAACTTAAATTCTTTTTCTTTAGTGTATGATTCTTCCATCTTTTTACAATGCAGTTAATTGCAGTGAAATTTTTCATATGAACATGTAAACAAATTGCCAGGTATTCTGAAAGCTGCAAAGTGCTATGGATTGGAAGCTTGTACAGGTCAGGCAGCTGCCACTGCAGATGGTGACATCATTCTTGCCTGAATGAAAACAGCTTTCTTAAGAACTCTCTCTCCCACCCTCATTTTTCATCTCTAGGATGCTCTCAAATTTTTGCTTCAAAATTAATACTATTTCTGATTTTAAAAACTTACAAGCCAGAGAATAATTACATATTACATTTACAGGTATACCTTTTGTAAAATATTATTGTAACTTCCATGTTTATCAGTTAATCTGCTTAACTATTCATCATTGCATTTTATATTTTGTACTTGTATATTTGTAGCACTACATACTATCTGGTATCTCACAGTTTGTGAATTTCATGATATTGAATTATTTTTTCCTTTATTTCTGTTCAAACATGCAATACAGCATATATTTTATAAAATGCTTTGGTAATATTACAAATGAAAAATATGCAGGATTTAACCCATTTGTAAATAGTTGCAAAGAATAAACATAACTGACAAGCATGGATTTGCTGCCATTCCATTGATATATTGGCTGTCCAAATACTGTAAAAGGTCATGACTTTTAAATTGTGAGAAAGATTATTTCTAAAATAGTTTCTTTTACTGTCTTATAAGTACATTTTATCCTTTTTAATGTTCTTATATGCCGAATAAATTGAATCCTTTTTCAAATATTTATAAAAGTCTTCAAAATCTATAATGGCAGGGTAGGAGGTGAGGATTAAAATGGGCAATTGCTTCAATATAGTTTAAACACATGTAACTTGTCATAATTATTAATTTTAACAGGCTTCTAATGAACTGTTGTCAACATTTTAAGAGTAATTTTGACTCTGATTGTATTGTGGCCTAGAATACACCCCCATAAGCTTTTTTCCCCAGCCTACACCTTTGGCCAGTCTAATGTTTTAAGATGAAAGGAAATTGACTTGAGTCATAAATAATGAGCCTATAGTGAAAACTGAAATTTGTAATTGGTATTATATTTGATTTCATATTATATGACATAATGAACTCTTTCTGATATGTTTGATGGCCCAATACCCTGATATGCCACAATGCAGGAAGATATCAGATTGTTTCTAAATTTATGTTTAAGAGGTTATGAATTCTAAGTGTATTTTGTCACTGGTTGCTTGGATAGGGAGAATTTCTATATACTACAAAAATTTAAAATGTAATAAAATTAATTATATCCCTGAACTCTGTCCAAAATCTAAAGAACTCTAATAGCTTAGTAAACCCAAGGAGGATTAAGCTTGTATTTTCCCCCAAAATACTGATTCCAGTCATATTTTTTATGATAGTGCTTTCTAAAATGTTCTTCAACTTTAAAGAAGCAGTGGATATGTCAGAGAAATCGATATTTCAGTCAGATGTAAAGCTTGGATATTAAATCCTAAATACCTTAAAGTGTTCTGATTCATGTTATTGATCCTGAAAAAATAAGCCTTTTTAAAAACAACATTGAAAAGATATGGAAAAATACTAATTATAATCTTTATGTGGTAGTTTGAATGAAACTTTATTGTATTCTTACATATATTGTTGTGTTAGTAATACCCAATTTTATGTATATATTGTTAATATCTATGGGATACAGATAATTGCAAATTAATAATTTTGCATTCTTAACACAGTTGTGTGTATGTAAATAATTCTGAGCTCATATTCCAGAGAGCAGATTTAAGGTTCAAACAGGTCAGTGGTAGTGTGATAGGATGGTTGCTCACAAAAGTATGCCTTATCAGTTGGATGTGTTTGCCACATAAATTAGCAAGTAGACATAGTGTTTGTTTTTAGTGGTGGGCATGCTGACTACAGAGACAAATTACAGATGCAAAAAGCACTCTGGTTGGATTTCTGCAACTTGTAAAATTAAAATATAATAGGTTAATTTGTGGCTCAGTTGCTGTAGAAATCTAGACAGTAGAAATCCAAACAATTAGAGCAGCCTCCGAGAAAGGAAGTGAACCAGGACAGCACAAAGTCTCCCACTCCCATGAGAGATAGAGCAAGGATGGATGCACTACCCCCATCCTGCTCCCGCCAGAGACCATCCAAAAGTGTGACCAAGTTGAATGTGCTGACAACAAAATCACAAAAAATTATCAATGGAAATCAAATTTAGCGACCCATGGAGGTCTGGATTTGGAGTTACACTCAAAATTAAAGTGGAAAAAAACACTACAGGCTGATCCAACTTTGATGTAATGTCCTTAAAACAAGTCAAAATGAGGCTCAGTAGTGTGTGGTTGGCCTCCACGTGCCTGTATGACCTCCCTACAACGCCTGGGCATGGTCCTGATGAGGTGGGGGATGGTCTCCTGAGGGATCTCCTCCCACACCTGGACTAAAGCATCCCCCAACTCCTGGACAGTCTGTGGTACAACGTGGCGTTGGTGGATGGAGCAAGACATGATGTCCCTGATGTGCTCAATTGGATTCAGGTCTGGGGAATGGGCGGGCCAGTCCATAGCATCAGTGCCTTTGTCTTGCAGAAACTGCTGACACACTCCAGCCACATGAGGTCTAGCATTGTCTTGCATTAGGAGGAACCCAGGGCCAACTGCACCAGCATATGGTCTCACAAGGGGTCTGAGGATCTCATCTCGGTACATAATGGTAGTCAGGCT